CTCCCAGATTCAAGTGATCCTCCCACGGACCTGGAACAACAGGTACCCGCCACCACGCCTAGCTAATTTTTTATGTTTTTAGTAGAGACGGGGTTTCACCATGTTGGCCAGGCTGGTCTCGAACTCCTGACCTCAAACGATCTGCCCACCACGGCCTTCCAAATTGCTGGGATTACAGGTGTGAGCCACTGAGCCTGGCTAATGCTTTTTTTTTTTTTTAGTAGAGACGGGGTTTCACTGTGTTGGCCAGGCTGATCTTGAACTCCTGACTTCAGGTGATTTGCCCACCTTGGCCCCCCAAAGTGCTGGAATTCCAGGCATGAGCCACTGCGCCTGGCCTCTGCATGTTTCTTGACCCCATCATTGTCTTGAGATTGGACCACATGGGTCATGGACGCAGTCAGGTTAACAAAGTTAGAAACAGAGACGCAGGGAAAGACAAGCTCAGAGAGAAACAGCATCAGTAAGTGAAAATCGTGGGGAGACAGAGACAGAAGCAAGGAAGAAAACAGCCCCCTCCCACCGCAACACTCACTTCATCCTGGTCCCTCATAGCGTTGAGCTGCTCCAGCTTCTTGGCCCAGTAGCGAGCCTCCTCTTCGGGAATGTCTGCAAGCAGAGCCGTGTCCGTGAGCCTGGAAGCTCCTCCCTGCCCCTCAGCCTCCATCCTCCAGGCCTACTGAGTTCCAGCCGGGCCCTGGTTTCTGGGGTCTTTGGCAAAGCCTCAGAAGTAGGGGTGGGCTGGTCTGGGGTCTCAAGAGGGTGGATGGAGATGAAGGGGAGGTACCGTGGTGTCTCTGATGCCCCTCTTCCCAGAGCTGGATGGAGAATAGTTGGAGGATGAGAGGAGATGGTTCCTAGCCTTTACGAGGGTGGGGAAGCCATTGTTTTTATTTAATTTTTTCAAATTAAAAAAATTTTTTTTTGAGACGGAGTCTCACTCTGTTGCCCAGGCTGGAGTACAGTGGAGCAATCGTGGCTCACTGCAACCTTCGCCTCCCGGGTTCAAGCAATTCTCCTGCCTCCGCCTCCTAAGTAGCTAGGATTCCAGGTATGCGCCACCACGCCTGGCTAATTTTTTGTATTTTGAGTAGAGACAGGGTTTCTCCATGTTGGCCAGGCTGGTCTGAAACTCCTGACGTCAGGTGATCCATCTACCTCAGCCTCTCAAAGTGCTGGGATTACAGGCATGAGCCACCATGCCCATTGTTTTTATTTTTTATTTTTTAGAGACAGGGTCTCACTCTGTCACCCAGGCTGGAGTGCAGTGGCACAATCACAGCTCACTGCAGCCTCAAACTCCTGGGCTCGAGCTATCCTCCCGCCTCAGCCTCCTGAATAGTTGGGACTACAGGCACCTGGTGAATTTCTTTTTCTTTTTCTTTTCTTTTTTTTTTTTTTTTGAGATGGAGTCTCGCTCTGTCGTTCAGGCTGGAGTGCAGTGGCGCTATCTCAGCTCACTGCAAGCTCCGCCTCCCAAGTTCACGCCATTCTCCTGCCTTAGCCTCCCGAGTAGCTGGGACTACAGGTGCCCGCCACCACACCGGCTAATTGTTTTGTATTTTTAGTAGAGACGGGGTTTCACCGTGTTAGCCGGGATGGTCTCGATCTCCTGACCTCGTGATCCACCCACCTCAGCCTCCCAAAGTGCTGGGATTACAGGCGTGAGCCACCTGCACCCAGCAGCCACCTCGCCTGGTGAATTTTTAACTTTTTCATAGAGATGGGATCTCACTAGATCGCCCAGGCTGGCCTCAAACTCCTGGCCTCAAATGATCCTCCCACCTCAGCCTCCCAAAGTGCTGGGATTACAGGCATGAGATACTGTGCCTGGCCAGCCATGGGTTCTTAGAAGAATGAGGTGGAGAGACTCAAGGTGCTTCCGGAAAGGAAGAGGGGACTATCTGTTCTCAGCCTCTGTCTGCATGTCTCTCTCTGTCTCTCTTTGTCTCTCTCTCTCTGTCTGTCTCTCCTCCTATCCCCAGCTCACTGTTGCAGCCTTAGGCATCACCAAGGAACCGCCAGGATAGCTCAGCCCTGAGCGCCGTGGGTTTGTGAAACATTTGCAGCTCACTGGGAAGGTACGGGGCCTGGGTCATGGCCTGCACGCAGCAGGTTCAGCCTGCTGACTCTCCTGGAATAGCTGAGTGAGTCCAGAAGTGGGGCCGGGCTGGGTGAATGTCCCGTGCCTGGGTACTCACCTAAGGGCAGCTCAAAGCGCGTGTCCAGGAGGATGCGGTGGAAAGTGGGGTCCTTGGTGCCGCAGATCTCACTGTCCGCCATGATGACCTGGGAGTCCAGCGTCAGCCACTCTCCAGGGCCCTCCTGGAGGTCAGTGGAGGAGGTGTGTGGGTCAGGCATCTGCTACGCTGGTCCCTGGGGCCCCTACTCTCACATGAGACATCCCCCTCACCCCTACCCCAAAACAAAAGTCGTGTCTCCTCTCCCTCTTCCTTTCCTTCCTTCTCTCCTTCCCTCCTTCTCTCCTTCCTTCCTTCCTTCCCTTTTTCCTTCCTCTTTCTCTCCTTCCTTCCTCTTTCTCTCCTTCCTTCCTTCCTTTTTCTCTTTCTTTCTCTTTCTTTCTTTCCTTCTTTTTTCTTTCCCTCCCTCCCTTCCTTCCTTCCTTCTCTCCTTCCCTCCTTCTCTCCTTCCTTCCCTCCTTCCTTTCTCTTTCTCTCCTTCCTTCTTCTTTCTTTCTCTTTCTTTCTTTCCTCTTTCTTTCTCCTTCCTTCCTTCCCTTCCTTCCTTCCTTCCTTCCTTCCTTCCTTCCTTCCTTCCTTCCTTCCT